TGACTTGCAGGGGCCACACTTGCAGTTTTGGCAGAACCTGATCAAATACTTTACTTCTTAGCAAAGTATTCTTCCCAGAACGACATGCCATCTCACGTTTAGATTTCAGCCAACAGGGAGAATGAGGAGTGATTTCAGGCTCAGATTAAGCAGCAAAATCACAGGGATATTTTTTGTATCAAATGACTCTGAGTATGTGTGGCAATAAACTTCACTTCTGGTGGCCTTGCAGACAGCAAATAACAGAAATGCAGTTGAACTAAATAGCAGGAGTGTAGGATTAGGGCTCTATGCTAAGTATAACAGATCTAACTATTAGGTCCTACTACTCTGTTGAAGGCTGCCCAGAACATCAGCCTTAACGTTGCCTTAACATTAGGTTCTGTCTATTTTTCTTTGCTTATTGAATATCCACAATGGTCCAGATGAGAAGGTGCATTAAGACAGTCAAAGCATTCAGTGCCTACGAAAAGACAGGTGGTCACTGGCCATTTCAATCAGATGTAACAATGTCTCTAGAGAGTGTGGCCCATTCTCTGGTGAACTGGCCAGGTCTGGGTTCAAATTCAGATCTTCTCTTACTAGCTGTGTGACCGAGGACAAATTTTTGAACCTGTTTTAGCTTTACCTTTAAGATGGAAATAATAATAATATGATCTCAAACTGTTGTTGCTAAGGTTACGTAAAAATTCATTTGAAACACTTGGCCTAGAGCCTCATTCATAGAAAATGCTCATTGAACGCTGCTGCTCAGCACTACTGCAACTGCTGTTATCATTAGGATTGGAACCAGTGCGTATATCAGAGTTGTCACCATTTCGCAGGCAAGGAAGCTGAGGCTCAGATTAAGCAGCAAAATCACAGGGATAGAATGTGACAGGACCAGACTTTGAGGAAGATTGAATCAAGCTGTTCTCTAGAGAGGGTACTCTTCACCTTCCACCTACCTGGCCTTCTCCCCAGCTTCTTCCAGCTAGCTGCCTCTGAACTAGTGGGGTGGGCCCCAGAGCAGGACAGGCTGCAAAAGGGCTTCGAGCAGAACTGAATAGAAGCCTGGGGGACCATTAACTTTGCCATGACCTCCTGTACTTTTCAGAAGTTTTCTGAGCAACCATTTTCTGGCCCTGGAAATATGCACATTTGAGATCAATGTAAATTCTTAAAAAATAAGACTTTTCTCCCCTCCTTGTTTTATGCTGAAGTAAATAAAAGAGCTACTGAGTTAGCAGTCCTGCACATCATTTGTCTGTAGGTCTGTACAATCATTCTTCTGTCCTTCCATCAGACCATCCATATCACAAACATTTATTAAACACCTGCAGGATGCTAGACACTGGCTGGAGAGTGCTTTTCTCCCCCAAGTCCTATTTTTCCTAACAGACAGTACAGTCATCCCTTGGTGTCTGAGGGGAGGATAAATTGGTTCCAGGATCCTGGCAGATACCAAAATGTGCAGATGCTCAACTCCCCTATATAAAATGGCAGAGTATTCACATATACCCTATGAATATTCCCTCCTGTGTTTTAAATCATCTCTAGATTTCTTATAGTGCCTAATATAATGTAAATGCTAGGCAAATAGCCATTGCATTGTATAGTGCAGGGAAGGACCACAAGAAAAATCTGTACATAATTGGTGTCGATGCAATTTTGATGGTGAATATTTTCCATTGCCCTTGGTTGAGTTCACAGAAGTAAATGGATAAAAGGGCCACTGTATTTTCCATTCCAGATAGTCAATAGTAAGTGAGGGTGTGGTGCCTATCAGGGAGGGAAGTTAAAAGAAGGGGTGGTTACTTCTGTTAGAACTGTGAAGATTCTGGGAATGCCAGGCAACTCAGCCCAGGAAGGCCTACATGTAAAGAGTGATTAGGAGGTAGTGTGCTTCCTGCTATAGCGGATGCCTGTGTGCATAAATGCAAACAAGTTCTGCTTAATGGCCTTTAAAAAAAATGATTCCAGTAAGTAACCATTGTGATTTTACACCATAAGAACCAAATGATTCTGGGGCCGGGTGTGAGCTTGCACAGGGGTTCAACCCTGGGGCCTCTTTCATGCTAGGCAAGCGTTGAGCTATATCCCCAGTCCCAGATCTGGGTTTTGTTTAACAATTTTCTCTAATTTTTTTTGTTTGATTGTTTTAATGCATTTGGAGCAGGCATCGATGATGTCTAAAGTGGTGGGTGTGTGTGCGTGGGAGTGGGGGGCAGGCAGTCCGCAGAGTCAGCAGAGGCATCTGAGAGGCAAGGAATTTTTAAGGGATAGCTGCACTCCATGTAGAGGGCTCTGATTGGCGTAAAGGAGGGCATAGAGGGTCTGAGTACCGCTCTCATAACAAGAAATAAATGCTGGCCAGGTCTAGGTGGATTTCCGCGGGCATTGTGGCCGGCTGCTCAGACTGTCCAATTAGAGTGCGGCCAGAAACCTAGGCTTAGTGATCTTTAAGTTACTGAGCCAGGTCCCGACAGCACCCGGCCACGCGCTCAGCTCTCCCGCGACGGTTGAGTACGTTTAAGTAGTCATTCCTATCCCGGCGGTTCCATGCTCAGTTCTTGGCCCGGGCACAGGGGAAGCGGCAACAGGTCCTCGCGGACACCCTCGGCTTCCCTCACCCGCATTCCGCAGCGTGCGTGGGTGCGGCTGCCCGGCGGTCTGCACCCGTTCGCGACCCAAAGGCTGGCCAGCAGGGCGGACTCTCGGGAATCCACCCCGGTGGTCTCCGGAGCCAGGTTTTAAATAATTCATGAGCTGGGCCCCGCGAGCGGGGCAGTGAAGGGAGAGGTCTGCGGCAGCGGTGACGACAGCCGGAGATGGAGGAGGACCCCGGCGCGTGGTGAGTAGCTACGACCTCCCTCCGGAGCCGGAGAGGGGTCTGCGGACTGGCAGGGGGACTGAGCGGTCCCCTTTCCCGAGTAGTAAGGACAGGCCATGGCGAGTGGAGAATCTCTCTCTGGGCATCTCCCTGCCCCGGTAGCAGGTGGCTGGAGCCCCGGTAGCCACCAGGGAACTGGAGGGGCAGCGGGGAACCGGAGGTGGCCCGGGAACCACGCCAACCCGAGGTTCCGAGATGTTCTGGGAGAACCGGGTAGGGAGCGCAAACTTTTCCGGCTGCGTGGTGGCCGGCGTCGCACGGCGCCGCTGGGGTCTTCCTCCTATTCTTTGGAGTGGAGCCGGCAATTGTGGGTCTCCAGGTGTCAGGGCATGAGATGGCGAGGGAGGCCCCCCGCCCCCGAAGGCCTCAGGCTCGCCCTTGGGGAGGTGGTGAGCGAGGGGAGGCTCGCCAGGGGTTTAGGAACTTTTCCGCGGTTAGGGGAGCGCTGGTGGCCCAGGGGACGCAGGGTGCCGAGCCTCTCCGGTGGAGCCTGGAAAGGGCCAACCTTCCTCGATTTTGCCAAGCGGAGTGCGCTGTGCAACTGACCGTAGTAGGAGGGGGATCTGGGGTTGCAAAGGGAACCGGTTCCCGGGGGGCCACAGGAGAGCGCACGCGCTCTCAAGGTGGAGCACACCGCCTCTCCACCCTCCACGACCCGCTGGTTGCTCAGCTCCGAGAGCTTGGGCTTTCCTGGGATGGAGAAGCGGAGTGCTCCGGACGCACCCTGCCGGAACGCGCCGACCGCGACAACAAAGGGGAACAAGGACAGACGAAGACCTCCGCGGCTGCAGGAGAGTCGGGGTTCAGGATCAGTTTCCCTGAGAGCAGGCCCGAGGGCGGAGGGGCACGGGTCCAGATCCCCCGCTCTCCGGCGAGAGCGCCCCCAATCCATGCCCATGCGAGGCCGCCGAACGGAACTGGCGCCGACGCGCTGGGGGCAGCCAAGTTACTCCGGCAACCCCCTCCCCCGAGCGGCGCGGCAGCCGGTTCCTGGAGGCTCCTGACTTCCCGCGCCCGCGTGGCCGCCCATTCTTTTGTGTCCCGCAGCTTAGGAGAGGCTCCTGTCTAGGGGTAGCGGAGGCTGGAGGGAGGCCGGCCTGGAGTGGGGTTAGAGGGAAGGCCGGGAAACCCGCGCCCGGTGCCTCCTGCAGCTACAGGTTGCTCTGCGAGCCCGACCGACCTTCCTCCGGTCTGGTCCCGGCTGGAGAAAGGGCAGCCGGGCTTCTTGCGGGCAACTACCGACTTTTGTTAAGATAAACAAGTGCGTGATTGTGGTCCTTCGCGGCTTCCTCCACCCTCACTCACACTTGACTCCAAACAACTTAGGCAACGAGTTAGGTGGAAACAAATGAAGTTGCTTTTGGGGGATTGAATATTTGAAAATCAGCTCTCCAGGATTCAACTTGGATGATGTTGTATATTTTTCTTTTCTCATTTGTGAGAAACTTTCTGTATCCACGGAGCTGCCTTCTCTGGCAAGATGAGCCTGGGGATCATGGTGGAGTTTTGCTCAGAGCTTCTATGGCAGAGCCCCACCAGCGCTTTGTGGACCCCCGGCTGTGGGCTAGGACTTTACTGTCCCTTGCAACCCAAGCTGCTTCCCACTGTACAGATGAACGAAGCAAAGGTTGGAGACTATAAACAGCTGTCATTGTCACAGTTAATGAGTGATACCAGAGACCCAGCCCTTTCTCAAAAGCTTGCGGCTATTTTCTATTTAGCAGCACCCTTTAGTTTTGTTTTCTTGATATGCCCTATAAATTTTTTATGAACTTCCGTATGTTTTCCATGCTGTACTATTTCTCTGTGTTCTAGTTCAGTGAAGTAAATAAGTGCATCAAACCACAGGTTGAAAATAACAGAACTTTAAGCCAAGTATTATGTTGTTGGTATTGTTTTTAAATATGAAGGAACTAGGTTTTTCAGCAGGGCGGGAGGGAGCTGGCTCTGGAGTTTTATTAAGGATCAGGATGCTTTGTTAAAAACAATGTAAGCAGCCTGACATGTTGGTGCCCACTTGAAATCCCAGCTAGTTCTGAGGCTCAGGCAGGAGGATTGCAAGTTCAAGGCCAGCCTCAGCAAGTTAGTGAGGCCCCTAAGCAACTTAATGAGATCCTATCTCAAAATAGAAATAAAAAGGACTAGGCATGTCCTAAAATGGTAAAGTGCCTCTGGGTTCAATCCCTAGAACCACCAACACCACCAACAAAAGCCAATACAAGTGAACTCTGGGAAATTGTTGCAGAAGAGGGCTTCTGGGAATGGTGATTACTGGGTGGCTTGAAGGAGGGACAGGAAGGCTGGCTAGGCTCTCCTAGGAGCCCAGGATATGGCAGGGACCCAGACTGATGTATGGCTATGGTGCTGGATATGGCTGTTGGCACTGCCATCTTTGGTGCTAGAATTAAGTAGAAACTATGTGACTTCAGTGTATGCTGCAAGCACAGGCCCAGGAACAGACACCTGATTGGCCCGGCTTGGCTTACCCCTCCAGGACCAATTTGGGGACCTCAGTTGGCCTCATAATGAAAGGCAGGGCTTCCTCCCTCAGGACACACAAAGGTGGGCCCAGAAGTTAGGGAGCCCTCACATCCTGCCCAGAGCGTCCCACATGATGAACACCTAAACAGGGACCCTTTTTTAAAAAAAGAACAATTTTGAGAAGCTCCCATCAAATGAAGAAAAGAAAATGAAGTTGCTCATTCACCCTGTTTGCTTTTTAAACCAGTGTTTGCTGAAATGTGGTTCTCGGACTCCAGACTCAGAACCATGCGAGGTATTTGTTTAAAACCAATCTTTTTGGACCCCCTTCTCATATGAATTCATTGTGTTTGGGGTAGAAACAAGGAATCTGTACCCCATAAATCAGGAAAATGGTAAGAGGGCCTTGTTGATTAGTACCTGTTTAAGATGATAGCCCCTGAAGCAGAAATTTCCAGAGCTTGCAAAATTGAGAGTCCAAACAAAGGTATCTCTCCCATTATGGTAGACCAAATGTTCTGCATGAGGAGCTGCAGTGAGGATTGGGTTGGAGGAAATGGCCATGGGCAATCCTACGGGTAGGATAGGACCATCCTTTCAGAGGCTAGAAAGCAGCAAATAGGTAAATGTTTGGTACCACTTTAAAAAAAAAAAAGGTAAAAATGAGCATTTTGTGTCAGTTTTTCCCACTGCCATTTTATTTTTACAGTCCTTTACTGAATACCTACTGTGTGCCAGGTCCTCAGATTATAGGCGTGAGCAAGTCAGGATCCCTGCACAGCAGCTGGGATAGACCAATTCAAAGCAACATGACAAGGGCCTTTGGGAGAGCACACTTCACATCCGTGTCCTACGGTTGTATCCGAGAAGCCCATGGTATCTGTAGAAAGCGGAATGGGTGATATCCAACCAAGAGCATAATCGTTCTCAAACTTCAGTTGTCTTATGGAAAATCAGGTTAATGGGCCTCATCCAGAAATTAGGTGTGGCATCTTCATTTTAAGCGAATATCATTGCATGCTGATACAGAAGTTGCCGATACTGAAGCTCAGCAGCTCTTGGGACCAGAAGGAGTTTATCAGGAAACACCCAGACCTTCTATTTTGGCACAGCCGTTAGAATCAAGGTGAAAAAATGTCTCCATTTGACCTGACAATTTCTTCAATTGTCTAGCATTTCTCTTGTGAGATTTTAATATTTTCTTACAATTTAGTTTAAAATTTAAAATGAGGGATCTATACTTCAGAGCAGGATGTAAAGAAATCTGGACTTGCAGCTCCAGTTGCCTCTAGATCGCTGGCTGCCTGTCTTTGCAGGGGTGAGCTGTAGTGTTTCCCTCCACCTGGAATTCCACCGAGGAGGGCTTTGGCAGTGAGCTTAACCACAGCTCTCCCTAGTCAGTTCTGACTCTGGCTATAGGTTAGTGGTATTACCAGGAAGTGTGAGCCTTTTTCAGCAGCTGAACCTTTAATCCTTGCAGCTGCTAGGATTAAACTTCATTAGCAAAACTCCAGCTAAGGTTTGAGTGTTGTGTGTTTGTGTGAGAGAGACGTTCAGAGGGGACCCTTCGAGAGATGTTGCCTGGGTCCTGTGCACATTGTGAGTGTCATGGAGAGCCAAAAGCAAAGTGTGGGGTGAGTGCCTTTGTTCCTGGTAGCCACTTGGCATCCGAGCAGCCCATGATTTGCTGTAGGGTCATACTGTTGGTTTCTCTGTGCAGAAGTAATTGGAGTTGTGTAATGCATTAGATTTGCATTAGTATCTTCATTCAAATAACTTATGAAATCCACCTCTCATCTGGAGCTTACTTTGACTTGGAATCTAGGTAGTGGGTCCTCTGGCTTCTTGTAAAATGTGTCTCTCTCTTTTGATTGTCCCCCTTTCCCTTTTTCACAATGTGCATTTTAGGGGCACCTTTTACTTATCTTGAAAGTTAACGAGAGTACGATGTGTATGTAGCTTGCAAAATGGCAGCAACGTTTTACAGAACACCTGGGTGGGGGTCTGGGGGAGACACAGACACACGTGTGAGCCAGATTCCACTTCTGAGTTCTGGGCTGTTCACCTCACCCTGTGACCTGGCACGGGAAAGCAGTTACGTTGATTTGTTTATTTCTTATATTCAGCAGATGCTGAATACGGACACCAGCTGTGTGCCCTGCTCTGTTAGATTCTGGGGACAAAAAGAACCTAAGGTCCACCAGGACAAGGGCGAGGAGACTCTGCCCTATCTCTCACTTTCCTGTGCCTAGCCATGGAGATGGTGACCTGGGACAGAGGTTTCCATCAGGATGACTCATTGAGCTTCTTAGGAAGGCAAAGTGTCTTAGGATCTCCAACAGTTTGGTCCCTGACCTCGGGGTCATCCCCTTTTGGTTTGGATTGTGGGTAAAATGGAGAAGAGGCCTTTGGAAATAAGATCAGTCTATTGATAAGCAGAATTTAAGGCTGAGTGAGTTAACCTCCAGGCAGGGAGAAAAATACAGACTTGGAGGAAAAAAGTGAGCATATAGTGCATTGCTGGGTCCTCTGTGGAGCCTTGATTGGAGCCTAGGATAATGAACTCTGTAGGATCTGTGTCTTGGTGTCCTGGCTAGAGCTTGGGCTCTGAAGGTAGACTGCTGAGTTTGAGTTCTGGCTCCCACGATCTTCACCTGTGCCTTTAGTGAGTTATGAAAATCCTCATCATGAAGTGGGCTAATGCCTTAAGCATGCGCAACAGCATTTGGAATCTAGTAAGTGTTTGGTAAATGTTGGTTTCCACCATTGCACAGCCCCCAGTGCCTGCCTGTCTGTAGAGCTTGGAAAGGGTCTGTATTCTGAGTCGGCCCCACCCCCAAGGAAGGACCTTCTCTGAGTTCTTGTTCCTGCCAGCCCCTCCCCTGCAGCTCTGGAGCAGCTGTGTGTTTGATTTCCACCCTCCGGGATTAGGCTGAAGGGTTTGCTCTAAAGCTTTGCAGTCTCCTCTCCAGAGCAGCTCCTGGTGCAGGCAGGTGGCCTGTGTCGGTGACTCTACTACTGTCTCTTTCATTGCCAGAGATGTTGCCTTGAGTGAATGACTCCATTGAAGGAAGCTCTTCTGCGTCCCTTGCTGCAAGCCAGCCCTGCCAGGAAGAAGACTCAGCAGATCCAGGACCCACTAGACCACCTCTGCACAGGAAGGACCTGTCTTCCCTAAGGCTTGCAGAAGCTACCTCATGTTCAGGGAATCTTGCTAGCTATGGCCCTCCTGTTTGGTATACTGCTGCTGCTGGGGCTTTGTGGGAATATCATCTCAGAAAACACTTCTGAGACATTGGATTATGAATTGCCTACATCCAAATATGAGACTGAAGACACCTACAGTCCTGGGCCCATTAGTGTTCTCTTCCAAATGGTGCGCATATTCATCTACATAGTGCAGCCCGGAGACTTCCCTGAAGGTAAGTGCCGACTTCAAGGAAAGGTGGGATTTTTTCTCCACATGATAATGCAATTCAAATCAAATATATTTAGTATTTTAAACTATGAGTTTCAAAAAAGGCTGATTTGCATAGGCGCAAAAAACTTTGAGACAGAACTTCAGTTAATTAGGTTGGCAGCAGTGTGATTAGGATAAATGAAATTCAACTCTATTGCTATGTTGGTTTTCCAAGTCCTTACCTTTTTTACATTTTGTTTTGCTTTGCTTAGAGCAATGAATTTCTCTAAAGCACACACCGAAGGTAAAAATCAAGGTAAAAATGCAATTTCTCTGTCATGAACTGAGAGGTTAATAGCTACCTGGCTCCTCTTGGCGATGTCAGTGCTTACAAATTTAATTCTGCCCACTGCGAAATGCAATTTTGACACTGCTTAAGGAAAGGGCAGACCTGTCCAAACCTATTTATCTTATTAAGTTTGCTTCAGATCTAAGTTTGGGTGTAAGAGAGGGGGGTGGAACTCGACGCCCAGTGTGCTATTCTTTGTACACACTTCGGATGTCCACTTTGGCCTTCTCTTTCTGCTTTATCGTACACATCAGAACTTGGAAGTTGTGATTGTCTTCATGTTAGGTCTATCCCATGCTTCTAGATTTGAATATTGTTATTGATTATAAAATTTATAGTAACCTTTATTATGTTCCTCAACTGGTCAGTTACTCTGTGTGTGTATGTGTGTGTGTGTGAGAGAGAGAAAGAGAGAGAGAGAGAGAGAGAGAGAGAGAGAGAGAGAGAGAGAAGGAGAATGAATTTATTTTGGTACGTCTCATCACTTATTTATATCATGGGAATAGTATAAGGAGTTTCACTAAATACATGTTGATTGAGGTTTTTTTTTGTTTTTTGTTTTTTTTTTACATGTTTGTCTTTTATCAGCTTGAAAGAACTTGAAGTATTTTGGTTAGTTTAAATTTCAATTCAAAGAAATGGGTCTTACTGAGCTCTTACTGTCATAGAAGAGTATCCCAAACTAATGCTGCTTACGTTTTCTTGCTTGAAAGACTATAAATTTGGAAATTCAAAAGGTAAAAGTAGGAAATAAGTTGAATTATTACTGTTGATTACAAAATTCACTGTTTTGAATGCATCTCTTAGTTTATTTGTAGGCTTAATACAAGTCACATTGAACGAATGAACAAAATAACTAGGAGTGCTTCTCATCTCTACTTCTTTTTTTTTTTTTTTGGTACTGGGAATTAAACCCAAGGGCACTTAACCACTGAGTCACATCTCCAGCCCTTTTTAGTTTTTTTATTTTGAGACAGAGTCTTACTAAGTTGCTTAGGGCCTCAGTAAATTGCTGAGACTGGCCTTGAACTTGCAATCCTCTTGCCTCTGCCTCCAGGTCACTGGGGTTACAGGTATGTGCCACCATGCCCAGCTTTACTTCTTTTTAAAATATATGTACCAAGTGTAGAATTCAGTTGTTTAATGTGAATTTGCAGTGGATTCTTCAGAAAGATGAGAAGGCTTTCCATGTCTTAGTCTAAAGCTCCTCGTGTACTTGTCTAATCCCTTAATCTCTTTCCATATGTTGTTCTATTTTGCTTCTTCTGAATTTCAGAGGAAGGTTTCCTCATGTTTTACAATGAAAAGCAGTATTTAAAATCTTCCTTCAGATGACCTGAGTGGAGGCGATCTTTTAGTCTTAAACAAAATTAGCAATGCATTTGAAGATTCTGAACTCCAGCAACTTTGTTAGTCTAGGAAATACCTGAAGAATTTAAATTCAGAGGTAATCTGAGGTGTTAGCCTGGTTTGTTCCTTGACCTTCATCAGTACTTCGTAGCTTGGAGCAAGATATTATCAGAAGTTTCAGCAGAAGAGCAGAGTAGACCATCCCTACAACCTTTTTGGGGAAAATCTAATATTGAATATAATGAATGACACCTTGCAATGTTGGTTTTTCTCCACCATCTTGCTGTTTATATTCTTTCACTCAGCTAATGGATTTCATAATGGTCTCAAAGTGTTCATTAGGGGCTTTACAGTGTTGTAAAGGACACATATTAGTCAGTCACAGTTTTTCCATTTGGGGCAAATGCATTTCATGGGCATTATAGATATCTTCAAAAGCAAAGATGCAAAAGCATACCCCCATAAAAAGTAAAAAGAGGAATTCTTATTTCTTATTCATCAGTTTAATCAACTTAGTTTATTAACCAAAACAAAACTATGGGGTAAATATAATATTTTCACAGAAGATACTATCCCATGGGTATATTTTTTTATTTGAAAGAACAAAAGTACTTTGAACGCAAGGTTCCACTGTGGCTTGAGGACTGGGAAAGGAAGGGACAACCCTGGATCTGGGCTTCCCCCCCCCCCAGTACTGGGGATTGAATCCAGGACCTCGGACACTGAGCTACAACCCCAATTCTTTTTATTTTGAGAAAGGGTCTCTCTAAGTTCTTGAAGTTGAAATCCTCTAGCCTCTGCCTCCTGAGTGGGTGGGATTACAAATGGACACCACTGTGCCTGGCCCCATCTCACAATTTTTTTTTTATATACAATTTTCAATTTGCTGTTTATTTATTTTTTTTATGTGGTGCTGAGGATTGAACCCAGGGCCTTGTAAGTGCCAGGCGAGTGCTCCACCACTGAGCCACAACCCTAGCCCCACCCCCCCATCTCATAATTTTTAAGAATTCAGCATGGATTTTTCTTAAGATTTTATATGCAAAACTTTGTGAACAGTTTTTATTGGCTAGAGGATACAAATATGAAAAACTCCCCCGTTCGGGGGCAAAAAAAAGGGGAGCCTGGCCAGGTGCAGGGGCACACACCTGTCATCCTAACTGCAGGGGAAGCCGAGGTGGTGGGATCTCCAGTTCCAGGTCAGCCTGGGCAACTTACTGAGCCCCTGTTGTAAAATATGAAGTGAAGCTCTTCTGGGTTCAGTCTCCAGCCAGCGCTGGAGGGAAGGAAGATGAGGGAAGTCCTGCTTTCTACAGCGTCCTTGCTGTGAGCTGCTAGGGCAGGTCACTGGGGGTGGAGGCTCCTGCATGGTTGAGAGGGTTGATGATGAACTCACAGCGAAGCAGAGGGTCATGGGGAAGTGGATACAGTATGTATCTATGGCCAAAGAACTGTGGCATAAATCTTGGCTCTTGGTCAAGTTCTCCCACCCCCAGACCCTCTTTTCCCTTGGATGGAGTATGACTGTCGTCATAGCCCACTTTGGCTTTGTGCGAGGCTTAAATGAGATGCCTGTTGTATGTGTAGCCTTTGTTTAAAACCTTGCCGGAAAGGCACAGAGAAATATGCTCAATAATTATAGTTGCTATTGACCTCAATATTTGAGAGGGAGGGTTGGCCAGATGGCAGGACTGGTTGAGAGCCGTGTGTAGGAATGAGAAGGTGTCTCCCGGAAGGATCCCGAAACCGGCCTCATCGCTGTCCCAGGAACGTTCCTCATGGAATGGCCCCATTGGATGCACTTTTGTTACTTCTGGTTGGAGGGTCTCCTGAGCGCCCCCACGGGAGCAGAACTAGGCAGAGAAGACAGTGCGATTCCCGTGCCCTGAGTGATCTGCACTGCGCTGCGCTGTCTGTCCAGCAGGCTCTTGGTTTGTCCATTTCTTTTTTCCTTTTTGCTGTCCCAAGCCTCCTATCAAGCTCCCTGGATTCCCCACAGCTTTCGGGTAGGTGATGGTGGTCGGTAGGGTTGCTATTTCTACTTATTATCCTCCCCTTTACTGATGTGAAAACTGAGAAAGACATTACACATTCAGGGTGTGCAGTAAGTAGCAAGTGGCAGCCGGAGAAACCCTAGCCCCCAGGACCAGTTATCCTTCCCATAACCCATATCTCCCTTGTTTTCCTTCCATTTTACTGTGATGCTTTTAAAACTAACCACGGGCAGGACCAGGGATGTGGCTGAATGGTAGAGCAGCAATAAAACCCCCATGAGTTAAAGAAGAGAACAAGAAAGCAAGCAAAGAAAAAGTTTAGAAAAAAGAAAGAACCCAAGTAACCGTTAGTTGGTAGGAAAAATAGTAAATTTTGCACATTAAAAAGAATGTACGATTATGGCATTAAAAATTTGCCGTAGTCCGCCTGCAGCAAAATAACCCCGGGGGTGACGAATACCTTGTGTGCGTTGATACAGCAGGAATGGAAGCCGTTCATTGTAGGACAACAGAGCTATTTATACATTTTGCACAGCTTATCTTAATTAGCATAAACTAGATACATCAGTCAACCAATAAGGAATCTTCACACTTAATGGCTCGCTTTTGTTACTTTTCAAACCACTCCCTCTGGCATTTTTGCCAGGCACCATCCAGACTTGTTTATGAACTCTAACATTCCCCTTGCAAAATACCAGGTGTTATTTTGACTTGTCTATAGACCTTAACAAAAATTACCTGATATCGTTAAGTACCTCTTTTGGTTTTTATGTGGCTGGGATGAATTTGGCCTAAGAACCAGATCTGAGCTGCTCTAGTGAAGCAAGCAAAGGAAAAACACCCATCTGCTTTTAGTTTTATAAATTGTCTGAAATGGTTCTCTACATTGCTTCGGTATATTTTTTAAACGAGCTCTTTGGATGGTTGACGTATTTCTAAAAGCATTTTCGGCTGATCTGATTTGCCCGGAGAATAGGGTTGGGATAGAGGTACCAGGGGGAACGTCGGGGTACTTGGGGAGTTGGGGCTGCTGCCTGGGTGTTGTGGTAGCTGCTCGGTTGCAGGTGGGGAAACTTACTCACTAGGTTGACCAAAACAGGGAGTTTATCTTCAGAACTCCAGGTGCCTCCTGGTGCTCAGTGAGGTAGGAGCCACAGGACTGCGCCTCGCTCTCAGGATCCTTCCGCTGTCCATCTTGGCTCCTCTGAGCATGTCCACGCTTGGCACCTCCTCCCCACCCCTTCCCATCTGGTTCCCCCTCTGCCACTGTCCTTGTGGTGGACATTGCATTGTAGAGAGTGGCCAAGAGTTCTTTCTCTTCTTGTCCCA